TCCGGTGTTGGGTTGTCACTGGCTCAGTAAAGTTAGGATCGAATTCTGAGTCAGGAGAAACCGTGGCAGTTGACAAAGAGGACTCAGCACCGGGTTGAGCTGTGGATGAGGCCTTGCGGAGTAAGGTCACAAAGGAGGAAGGGTTAAACATACCACTGAATGGGGGGGCCTGAGTGGAGGATTCCTCCTCATCAGACATAGGAAACTCCTGTTCATTTCCTTGGGCCTGAAGGGACACACCCTCAGAATACGAGGATCCAGAAGGTGAGGAGGGCGCATACTGATCTTCAGGTTCTTGATCAATCATGGACAGATGATCACTACTTATCGGTCTAGGAGGCGCGGCCCTTGCGTTAAGTGCGCGCTCAACCGCCTGTGCAATTAATAGGTTCAATGGATCCTCTGAAGGTAAGGAAGGAGACTCAATTGGACGAAGCCCCGCTGCTGTAGGGGTGAAAGTAGCTTCCGGAGTTCCCTGTTGTGTACGTGTAGCTGATAACTGTGGCATGTGGGTATAGGTCAGATCCTCAGTTTGGGGAGTATCCATTCTAGCAATTTTTTGCGCCCTAGAGAATTCTTTTTCCAAGGCTTGGTGTCTCCTGTTAGCCTGTTTCTCTGCCCTCTTGGAGGTTTTGGTAGCGGATTTGGTCTTAGTTTTGGATGAGGTCTTATTGGATTCCTCCATAGGAGGTTGGGCAGAAGTTGAGGGGACCGCTGAAGCGGGGACAACACCCCTCGATGGAGGGTCAGTAGCCTCCATTCTCCGATAACACAGGGACTCGTGGGGACCCCCCGCTATCAAGAGAAATTTAGTCAACGGGAAGGACAGGCGCACTATGGGTACGTCTGGAAACCCGGACACAATTGTAAGAGCAGCTGACCTCTTATGCGGGCAGAACAGACACACAGTGGGTATGCCTGGAATCCGCTCTGCTCAAGTAGGATAATAATAGGGGCTCTGTGGGACCCCCTAGTATCCTGAGGCCCAAATGCAGGAGCACAGTAAGGTACACCTTCGAGCCCAAGCGACAATGTGGCCTAATTTAAAGTAGGAGACACCAGGACTAAGAAGAAGAATGCTAATTTGAGAATGTAATTGTAATTAGGAGTTATCAATGTTTAATTCAGTTCAGTGTGGGTCAGGACTGTGTTCACTGTATTCTGAATGAATGGTCGGTGCCTATAGAGTTGGGGCCTAACTGGAGGAACAACCTTGAATTATAACTTGGCTCACTTGTTTAGAGCCTACAATGCCTTGCTGAGGAGGACCTTCACCCTTAAGGCAGACCAGAGTCAGCAAGCCGCCTCTCAACGTATAAAAGATGGCGGCCGCGCCTAATGGCGGCCGCGATTTCGAGCTTCGAGGAGGCCCTGAGCCTCGTGGCCTCGATCAAAATGGCGGCCGCGTCCGAACAACGGACCTATTCTCGCTCTCAGTATGGAAAAAAACAGACCCCCTTTGCTAGAAAAGACTGAGCTCCAACGCAACTAGCTGGGAATCTAAAATTGCTTGGGGCTGTGCCTTCAGTCAGCCCAAACAAGCTCCGTTCGGCCTCGATCGCGCGGTTCAAAATGGCGGCCGCGCGTGCGAATAAGGGCCGTTAGGGAGTGCCGAGAGGAATCTGACCTACTTAATTCACGCTGCGATCCCCAAACAGCTCGGAATGCACCCGTTACTCAAACTGCAATCCGCCTCGTAAATGGCTGATCGGAGGTTGAAATGGCCAATTCGCTGCTTAAAAGGCTGTAGAAATTCGCTTCTACAGCCTTGAGGGGTGTTTGATCAGTTCCCTATGGCCCCGCCGGCCGCCGCAGCCGCGAGCTCCGGAGGGATCCTGGGGTCTAACAGCCGTTAGACCCGAAAATTTTTCCTCCCACCTTTGCTTAAGATATTAAAGCTCCTGGGGGGAGGGAAGAGAGAAGGGACCCCCTTCCGGCTTCCTATTATTCTTTGCTCCCCCCACTACAGAGCTGCAAAGGAGGAGTGGCAGAATTTTTGGGCCAAAATTGTTAAGGAAGGGAAGCCTAATTATTTAAAGGGGACCAGCAAAGGGAAAAGAAGGATTCCACAAAAAAGCCTAGACTGTACCTATGAGCCAGAGTTATACGTCCTGTCCATGGGCAAGATCAAGTCAAGACTGGGAAATGGAGCCAGGACGGGGCGTGACAACTTTGGCTGACTTGATCTGATTGGGCAGGAATACAGTCTCCACCCATTCTGTGGATCCTCCATCTCCAGTGCTGGAGAAAAACAACTATGGTACTCACTTTCCTCAGTTCTCGAGATGCTGACTCGAGTATAAGCCGAGGGGGGCATTTTTCAACACAAAAAATGTGCTGAAAAACTCGGCTTATACTCGAGTATATACGGTAAATCAGGCTATGTTTCCTTGTAAGTATTTACTTATAAAATAAATAGTTGCCTTTATTTAAAATTCTTGAAATGCACAGGCTGAATGAGAGGTGACAGCAAATATCATAAAGATACAAATCTGGAATTTTATAGTCGAATGCTACAAAACCCGAGGCCAAAACCTGGCATTTTTCTACTTTAATGTGCTTTTTGATACAAAATTGTTGCAAATGTAGGTGACAAAGAATAACAACCAGCAGGTTTTACCCTATTCCCCAATAATACCCTGAATTAGTTGGGAAGCATGTAAAAATTCTACAAATGTCCTGGACAATTCAGTTCTTAGTAAGGAACCAAAAAGCATAACAAATGAAATTAAATCTACTTTAGGGTAAAAGCGGATGATGCATCAAAACAACCCCAGTAGGAACTCTAAGAATTGCAAAACAACAATAAATAGGATATGACTATTCATCTAAGCAGATTAATTTCAGAGATAAGTGCACACAGCAGCATTATTCTTGGGAATTATCTAGTGCTGCGTGCATAATTTTTCTGGGGGGAAAAACAGCCTCTGGCCAACAGCCAACTTTGTGCAAGATTTACAGATGACAATTTTGAAATATAGTTACCAGATGTGATATGGTCAACATAAATACCAAAGAGGTGCATCAAAGAAAAGAAAAGCCCACAACACTGGTAGACAGAGCTGAGTAAATAGAATGGGAGATGGAAGTCAGATATAGCAGATAATTTTATGAGTTGTGAGAATCATACTTTGCTCTGCAGTTACCTGATGTTCCCGAGAGTCAGTTTGGTGGCATAATTAAAGGCACCAGACTAAAAAGCAGGAGACTGTGAGGTCTTATGTACAAAGTCAGCTGGGTAACCTTGGGCCAGTTACACTCCTTCAGCCCTAGGATGAAGGCAAGGGCAAACCAAAAATGTTGCCAAGAAAACAGAAGGGGCTGATATGAGTCCAAAACGACCAAACAAGAAGGGGGGGGGGGAAATATTCCCAAACAGGTTGGTCTGAAAATGGTCCTCTACCCAATCAGGGAAAAAGAGACATTTCTTTAAATGTGTGTGGATCAATACTATTGGGGATTTCACAGGAGAATTACCTGTATGCTCTGCTTATATCTGCAAAAGCACAGGAAGCAAGAAAGATTGATATTGATAGCTTTTAGTCATTAAAAATAGCTGCCAATATTTGCATAGTCCAGCTCAGTAATGACAAAGACATGAACTAGAGGTCTGACAATTCTTCACTAAATGGAGATTACAAAAAGGCCCTCTTCCACCACATCTATCACTGCTGGTCAGAATCAGGATGATTCCAAAGCTCAAAAACTAATTAACAATAGCAATCTTTCTATCAATAACCCTAAAGCCCTCAAGAAAGAAAGAAAGAAAGAAAGAAAGAAAGAAAGAAAGAAAGAAAGAAAGAAAGAAAGAAAGAAAGAAAGAAAGAAAGAAAGAAAGAAAGAAAGAAAGAAAGAAAGAAAGAAAGAAAGAAAGAAAGAAAGAAAGAAAGAAAGAAAGAAAGAAAGAAAGAAAGAAAGAAAGAAAGAAAGAAAGAAAGAAAGAAAGAANTTTTTATAATTATTTCATAATAACATATAATTGTTTATGTTATAATGCAGACCATAGATGGGTAACTCACCTTCTAACTGCAACTGATTTGGAGATACAGTTACTGGTGATGATGGGAATTAGTCTAGGGATATGTGTATGCTAGGGAATAAAAAAAAAGCAAAATGTAAAAAGCAATAGTTTACACAAACTGATTATCAAATCGAAACATTGAACGTAGCTTGAGCAGGCTCACAAAGATCTGTAATACCAGAGCTGGTCTTATCACGCTTTTCCATGGCTAGCAACATCCATTTTTCAAAACAAGCAAATCAATGTATTTTTAATGTGCCTACTATATTGCTAGGAGCAGAAAGTTCAAATTTTAAAAAAGCAAATGGTCTTGGAATATAGTTCTGTTTTCACAGCTTCCACATTTTGTTAAATTTGTTTTTCAAATCTGAAGTTAATTTTGATATCAAAGCATACTTCCATATAATCTCCAGTGAATAGCATAAAGAATTATTGCAGCTTTTACCATGTGCAGAGCTAATTGAGCATATTTTATGGAAATATAAGGCTTAATAATATTTAATTAAAAACTGCAGGATGACGGGAAAAAAATCCTTAAAAATGTGTTTCATGTTGTTACAAATTATTTTCCAGAGTTGGATTTTACAACACGGCCAACAAATATGAAAAATAATCAAGCTATTTACTGAATTTCCAACAGTTTTTAAGAGAACCAATTTTTTATTTTAGTAATCAGTACTGCAGTAATAAAACATCACCAGAACATCTTATACTAATTTTTCTAAGTATAAAACTTAATGTATGATTTATATGTTTCTTTCACTGATATTCTGATTGTTGCATGTTGATTGTTCTATTTAAATTTTGTGCCTACTTAATCATGTAGGCTTGCTCACTTTCTGAATCATACTTTACTAACAATTCATAAATAAGCCCAGCTGTTTTTTTTTAAATTTTGCATCTCCAAAAAAGATTCTGACTGCATGTCATATCAAACTAGAATTTTGACTTTACCATAAACATATTTATGCTTAATGCTCCTTGTTGACTATTACTGCCAATGAGATCAATTAAATAATGAATGCATGTAGGGTCCTGGTCTCTATGTGGACCCCAAAACCTAGGATGCAGTTTATAGTCATCTTCCAAAAGAGGACCTCAAACTGTAATTTTGAATGTGGTAGAAATGAAGTTACTAGATACTAAAGAAATATGTGCTTGAATATAATGATGGGATATTAAAGGCATACATTAAAAAAATGAAGCAGATTTATATATCAGCTAAATCAATCAAATCTACTTTAGGGGTTGTTGGGTTTTTTTTGGGCACACCACATAAAGAATAGTGCAGTTGTGGCCAGTAGGATACTAACATTCTACTAAATCAATGGAAAAATTTAGAAGAATTTTCACATGCTGTGATTTGCAGGTACAGCCAAATAACCTTTTAATACTCTTTCCATGAAAAAGAGTTAAAACCAAAAAAGTTTTAATAAATATTTAAAAACCTAGCTTTCGTTGAATATCTATCAACGTCATCAGGGTGTATGTTGGTCAGTGGGAGGGGCCCTCCCACTGACCAACATACACCCTGATGACGTTGATAGATATTCAACGAAAGCTAGGTTTTTAAATATTTATTAAAACTTTTTTGGTTTTAACTCTTCCTGGTGTTCTAGTGTCGTTGTACAGCTTTTAACACACACACACACACACACATATATATATATATATATTCTTCAGCAGATGTATCCTACTCTTCATCGGTATTTAACAAGTAACAACTGTAGAATATATCACTGTCAGACTAGAAAGAAAACAATCCAGAGAGCACAATTTAATTTCAGTTTTTTGAATTTCCAGTCTGGTAATGTTTACACAAACACAGATGCAAGACAAACAGTAAGTGAATCTCTCATGCTGACTATAAGGCCTGTTTAAGATTCTGTGCAAAAGCCTGTTAATTGGACTGATTTTCATGTTTATTACATCCCTCTGCTGCTCTCATTAGGAGTACATGGGAGAACAATTTGTATCTGCATTGAGCAATACTCACTCGAATAATTAACCTCACAGTTACTACACCAGAAGTTGCCATGATTTTGGCACTGTTGGGAATGAGATTAAAGATTGTTGGCATGATGGCTTCTGCCCCATGGTCAAACTTGTTACCCAATACCGATGACAAATGTCTGAAATAAAACAAGAAAACAGATTGCAATAATGAAAGAGGAGGTTAGGCCAAGATGCAGTTAGGCAAGACTATTATATTCACGGTCTATAAATTAACAATAAATTACAAACACAGCATCTGTGTTGACAAAGTATTCTCAGTCGTCCCCCCCCCCCCCAATACTTGATGATGGTCAGTTTTCACAAGGAATCAGTCTCGAGTAGATCACTGTGAAGCTATTATGGATAGGCCAAAGGGTATTATTAAACTGCTTGGTCAGTTGGTCAGACCTTCTCTAACGCTTTCCATCTTGCCTTACCGTTTGTGAATTTTAGAGCTGCTATTAACAATCCCTCTTGCCTTTTGCTTAAAATCAGTGTTTCCAGCAAACTGCAGTAGAGAATGAAAGTGCCAGGGCAAATGAAATACCTGAACTTTCACCCTGAACTCTGATTGAACCTAGACAAAGTATTAAATCCTATAAAATAAGATTTAAGGAAAGCTTTCAGGCACCTAAGACAGAAACTGCCACTGAATTATTGAAACAATGGCTACAGAAATGCCAGTAATGGTGAAATTTTTTGAAGTTCCAATAAACATTTCTCAATTATAACAAGGAGAGGGGAACAGAGAGGAGAATGTTTGGTTTATCTAAAGATACTTGCGATTAATTTGTTTTTCATCTTCCTACTTCTATAGAAATACAAGCTATCGCATTATTTAAATATACATTTGTCATAGCATCTATCCATGGGCATTTCCTTAATAACCAAGATAACATTCACAAATAAAACCTGCTGAAAATAATTAATAACTACAAACCTATATCCCCCTAACTAAGGAACAATGAGAGTAGCTTCTGAACAAACATCCAGTGTAACTGCAAAATGGCACTAATATACAGGGGACAAGAAAGCAGGCCTTTTCACTTGCATAACTTTTGCAAAATCCTGTTCACAGATGTGGCACAGGTTATTCATACTATCGATATCAGGGTAGACAATTGCTGTAGCGTTTAAGGACATATCTGACATGAAGTTGGGAGTCACTGACATGCTTAGTGGTAAATATATTCATAAAGTAACAGAGTATTTTAAGAACAGCAGAGATGGATTTCTTTCTCCCAGCAATCCCACTACTTCTCTGAGGCAGGAAAAGGGCTTTTCCACTACTAAAATACTGAAGAGTTACCAATTAGGGATTTATCACCTAATAATTCTTTGTTATTTTTTTCAGTTTCATGATTATTCAGATAAGCAGATATGGAAATGCCAAGTTGTCCAGAAATGAAAATGATATAAAAGACATGCTTTAGACTGAAAATGAGAAGATCTTAGTAACAACTTCCTGCACTGATCCTCAATTCGTAAGTATTTGTCCTGCAGTACTTTGTTTTCTGTCTTTGATTTTTGTTTCATTACCAGTTCTTTTCCCAGGGTTGACTGAAGGGCAGGTAAGAAAAAATTGCCCCCACCCATGAAGTGTGGGGTGGAGATCAGCTACTGAAGAAAAGGCAAGAAAATTGCCATTTGCCTCTTCTCTGAAAGTAATCCAGGACAGAAATAATTTCTCTAGGATAAATTGACTGGTGGCAGTACCATCAAAGAGGCTATCCCCAGGAATATGAGAGAGTACATAGGATTGGAGGTGAAGGATTCAGAGACCATTTCATGGGAGTCAGAAGACCCAATCCATCCCATCCCATGAATGTTCAAGAGCGCCCCATTACGTGGTGTTAACACAAATCGTATGGGAGAATGCCACAGAAATTAAGCATAAGTGTTCCCATTTTCACATAAAAGGGCAGAATCCAGTCTCCCCTTCCTCAGAAAAAGCAGAAACCAAACTGTGTCATTCAAACAAATTAAGAGTGATAAAGATTTACAGCAAGGAGTGACCCTTTACCCATTCAACAAAGTGTACTTTCACTCTCCTACCACAGAAGAGGTTGGAAAAAAAGATGTAGTTTCACCAAGACAATAATTAACATAATGTAGAATATATAGATTGTGATCCTTACCCTAATGTGATACAAGCTTCTCGCACCACCTGGGACCTCAAGTCTTTAGCAGATAATTTAAAGGCTCCATCAAGCAAGCGCAGATGTTGGAAGAAGGTATCATACTCAGCAGCTCCAGCCAATAATAAAGACCGGATTTTTTTCAGCTGTTGAACACAAATTGAACATAGGAAGCAAAATTAACTATTTTATCACTTATCATCTGTAGAGTGCAGATTTGTCAGTGTGATAAAATTGTATTATTTATATTTTCCATTTCAGTGAAATCTCCAGATAGGGTACAGTAGTAAGCTAAAATCCAAGCATGTTAAAATCCTAACATATATATATTTAAAATAACTTTAAAAAATGTAAATAGAGTTCTTGATAGATTCAACCAACTTGGAAGCACACTTAAAGAGAAGGGCAACTTCTTATAATATGAAGCCTACCATGGAAAATGTGTCCTTGTTCAAACTTCCCTCTACAGCTCTGAAAATTAAGCATTGACAATTCTTGCTTGGTTTTTTTTTTCCAATAGGAAATGAGAATTTTCAGGATGTCTTGAAGTTCCAAAGTTCCAATTTGCAGAAATACACAGACACGGTAGAGATTATCCAATCTTCTAGCTAGCATATCATAAAATGCAAAGTCCCATGCCAAGTAGGTTATATTACATAAAAGAGTTCATATAAAATCAAATGCTTACTGCAACTACTCTCTGTTCCCAATCATGTTTATCATCGGACAGGATTTCTCTGATTTTGTTTATGGATTCTTCAAAGTCTCGGCTAGAATAAATCTGTAAAGAAAACGTATATAAATTATTTTACTAAGTTAGAAGAATTCACTGAACTACAAGAAATTATCCCTGCCTCATAAAAGCTATCTTTTGTACACCTCCAAATATATATTAGATGGTTCAGAAAAAATGCATGAGAGGAGCAGAAAACTACTAAAAAGAGGGACTCCTGACAAATCATTTTCCATAACATTGGCAAGAAGATATGGATATAAATCCAGGATATCAAATGCATATATTTCTTTCTTAAGAAATCTTATCTTTCTTATCATTAAAAGATAAGGGCTTTCATTCTACTTGAAGGCAAACATATTTTGGGTTACAAGGGGACCAAGGGATATGTCTGAATGTTCTTTTACCAGGCACCAATTTTTTTTAGAAAACCAAAAGTTAAAGTTTTTTTAAAAAAAACCCAAATAGCAAAGTATAGATACAATCTAAAATTTGGTATCTGATACAACAATTTAATAAATACAATAAATTGATAAATACCATGTAAAATATTAAAAACTCAAAAATTATTGAAGTTACTAATAACCTCATTGTTGTAGTCACAAGGAATAATGCAACATGACAATCCCTAATTTTTAAACTCAGAATAAGTAGACCAACTTGTCCCTGAAGACACTAAGACACAGCTGAATTCCCCTGTGATGCTTCCTGAAAACAGTGTAGTCACTACCACATGATCTAGTTTACTATTATATACACCAAACCAAATATTCTAACTGCACATTACCCAGAAAAAGATATAAAAGCTGTCTAATTTGCTCTAATTTTGCCCATTTAAAAAACATGAATTGTATCCAACTGTGCACTTCTATTAATGGGAACTTCATCTAACAATGTCAGGTTTTTATTGTTTTTAATATTTTAAATGATTTGGTTTTATAGTCTTAAATAGAATTTTATGTTTCTCCTGTTGTTTGATTGGGAACCGCCCAGAGCTGGTTGAACAATGGGCGTGTCTATAAATGTTTTAAATAAATAAATAAAATGTCCCTTTTTTTACTGCACGAGATCCAAAGAGAACTCCTCTAGTGCAGATAGGGATAGGATGGAATTACAAAGAAAAGAAGGGATCCATGAAAAACAATTCCCCATTTTCTGCTTAGGGATGTCTCCACTAGATCAACCAGCTTCCATTAACAAAGGAAACATATCTCGGTGTTATAATCTGTGTCTTTTATGCCTCTTGTGAAACTATACAATTACTCTTAATATCATTCATGACTTAAGACTGAGATTTAAGAGTGTTTCCTCACCATTTCATTCTGTTCCATTACCAAATTTCTCATGGCATGTTCTGCCTTACAGTCTCAAACTAAGCTGCTGTCCCATTGACAATATTGGAAAAGAAATGATTTGCCAATCCAATCAACTTTACTACCTTTTTCTTTGTCCTTCTCTGAGATGCAAACAAAAGTTCCAAACAGTGTCTTTATAAAGAATGCATTCCATCTCCACCCAGACGTTCTAGTGTGCTTTATTTCTAACCACACTATGAGCAATTTACCTGAACAGTTGGGACATCTTCAAAAGCTTTAATGAAATCCTCCTCATCAATGGCACCAGCTCCTTCTTTAGTTGCTAGAAAATGCAAGAGGGAGTATAGGAAGGCAACAATAACCGTTAGGGAAGAAATTTATATAAACTATATGTAAAACAGGTCTTATTGTAGTAAGAATACAGAAAAAGAAACGGCAAAGCATGCAATGTCTTCAGAAAAAGGCTTTCTTGAGGAAAAGATTGAAACAATCAAAGAAGACAGAATATTGCCTGAAAGAGATGGAATTTGTTGTTTTTTTTTACCTAAAGTGGTGACGTTTAGAAAAACGAATATAATTTTTCTATAAATTATTTAAATAATGTATGTGTATTAATGTATATGTGTATACATTGTGTATACATTCATGTATAATTAATGTAAATGTGATATAATTGATTGGGATATATAAGAATGAATGAGGCAGTTTAAAACATTAATTAGATTGAACTCTATTTTTGAAAGTTTTCTGAAAGTACTACTGTAAAATACAGGTTGTCCTCGACTTACGACAGTTCGTTTAGTGACTGTTCAAAGTTACAACAGCACTGAAAAAAGTGACTTATGACCATTTTTCACATGACCACTGCAGCTTCCCCATGGTCATGTGATCAAAATTCAGATGCTTGACAACTGTCTCATATTTATGACAGTTGCAGTATCCCAGGGTCATGTGATCAGCTTTTCCAACTTTCTGTCAAGCAAAGTTAATGGGGAAGCCAGATTCACTTAACAACCATGTTACTAGCAAAACTGCAACGATTCACTTAACAATTGTGGCAAGAAAGGTTGCAAAATGGGGCAAAACTCACTTAACAAATGTCTCACTTAGCTACATGAATTTTTGGGCTCAAATGTGATTGTAAGTCAGAGACTACCTGTATATTTATTTGACAGTTCCCCATCATTGGATTTAATGCATTCCATTTCCATAAACTAAGCTTAATATTTGAAAACCTCCTGGCTTTAGAAGAGCCAGAGAAAATTGCATCTGAATATAGATTTGATCTCAAGAATTTGTCTTTATTAAAATGTCAGAAAGTTTTCTTTAAACATTTTAAACAACGTCGTTAAATGATGTTAGTCAGTTTAGTGATCCCAATTGGGATCAGCAACCTGGTTGCTAGGTGAACAAACTACAACTGTGCTTAGGATCTTACTTCCGCTGTCCTATGTTTATAGAGCTACACGGATTGTAAATGCGAGGATTGATTGCAAAGTTTCTTGATTATCACTGTTGTAACAGTGAATGCTCACTAAATGAGGCAACTGCTCAACAAGAACTACCTCTAGTTACAATAAACGTATTTGATGATATCCTTGTTGACATGACACAATCTCAAATATTTTACGTCTTTTAGTACGTTCCTCAAATCAACAAATAGGTGCACTGAGGGTGGTGTTATGTTCTACTGTTCCAACCATGCATAAAAAAATGGAAAGGCAAAAATTAGATTGAAAGAAGTAATGTTTAGGTGTTTGCAAGGGCTGGACCTACCTGGAGTTTTTGCGACTAAAGCTACTGCTCCTACCCTACGAGCAGTGCCCACCCCACTTTTTCGAGATAATGAGGGAGCCTTTGAAGAGGTTGAGGAACTGGCTGAGGATGGTCGGTTCCCATCCACAGAGTCATCATCATCAAAATGTTTATCTACAAAGCAAGCACAACATAAAATTCATAGAGTTATTTAGAACCATCTCCCAGTTTGAAGCAAGTTTGCTCTGCAAATGTGAACAAATGAAATAACATATTACAGCAGAACACAACCTGTTATTCAGTAATATGAACATGGAGATATGTACCTGCCTGGACCCAATCACTTAAAATTAAACATACATTATATTGCTTTCGAATGATCATTGGAAGACAGAGGCTTCACAAGATAACCATGTAAAGACTGAGTCAAGTCCATGGATTTATTATAAATGTAATCTGTAACAACCTTCATGCCACTGCTCCTTATGTACATTTCCAAATTATTTTGGTAATTTTTCTTTTTCAGACTAAATCATTGTGGATTTCTGTTCAGCATTTTAGTATTTCTATGTTTTGATTTTTTTAAAAAAATCTATTTGATGAATGTTTTATTCTAATACTGAATACTACTTTCTCTGGATGTTCCTCTGTTATAAAAGTATGATTTATAAACATGGGCTGAGCTCCAACTAGCTGTTTATATTCAAATGAGGACCTTTTGTGGAATATTTTTATTCTGATGGCTAACTCTCACAATCATATCACAACCTAGTTTGGAAGGCTCCCCAGTATCAAAAGCATAAGTCTACAGGGTTCACAAAACTAATTTCCCCATTTTTTGAAGTCTGATCACTGGGAATAAATGTCTGTGTGATACCCAACAAATCCATCGATTTTTAAACTTTATTGCTGACAGTGATGCCATACCAAATGCCTTTGTTTCAGTCTATTTCTACTCAACAACATATTCAACACACATCTCCTTTCTTACAGTATATGAGTGAAACATGTGGGAGATAGAGGCCTAGACATAATACCACACCCTCTGATTTTTTTTAAAGTGACTCTGTGAACTATTAGTAGTAAGATCCATGCTCTGCATACTGTATTTCAATGCAAGTCATCAGCAATGAAATCATTAAACCATGCACTCATAAAAGGGTGCAGTGTAGCTTATAAAATAAAGCTATCAGCTCATCTTAGTCTAATTTTGTTATTGTCATTTGTGGAAAAAATGTATCACACCTTATCTTTAGGACCCTGATAAAATTTTACAAGCAATATGAAATGTTCAATTACTATACAGGTAGGTCTTTATCAAAGCAAAATAATTTTAATTTGAAGCATTGAATTAATTTGTTCAACACCTTGTTGAGCAGATTAGTAGTAAAATAAATAGCATAAACAGATGAACAGAATATTGTTCTCTCTCATATACACTCAGGGGTGTGGCTTCCCATATTGAAGGGTTAACTAAAGAAAGTACAATTTTCAGTAGTTTCTTTTGAGAAGCACATTTTGTTTATTATAATGAGTCAAAGGGGAAAAAAATACTCTAGTAAAACTCATTGCTTTTTAAAGATCAGATATAAACAGCCGGAAAAGACATTTAAATATCTGTGATAATTTTAAAAAATCAATCTAAGTAGCAGTTTGAATAACATTATATTATTTCCACACTTAATTTTCACTGTTAACCATCTAAGCTATTCCAGGCATCAGGTTTTTGAGAGCACATGTGCAGAGCAGAAAGAGAAACAAAGAACAGGTTAAAATCTGAACACGCACTTCAGGAGGAAATGGGAATCTAGCAGTCAGATCTATACTATAAAGTCAGAATAAAATCCACCCCGCATGACAGTTGAGTGCTACATAATAATTCACATTGCAGGAAGAGGCTTGCAAGTCAAACAACACATTTCATAAAGCTATATCCAAACCTGCTTTGCTTCCACTGCTTTCAATGGACTTTAAACCAGACAGTACACAGTTCCCTACATTTAGCCATTATCCATCCATCATTGCTGTTCCTTCTGTTTCTACAAAGCTCATTTATGAATGACCGTCTAGCTTTACATAGACACATGCCTTGTTTAAAGAGGCCTTTGTCTGTTCTTAATAACAGTTAAGCAAATAAAAAAAATGCTTGATGATCTTTTATTCCTCCCTGAAGGGGGGAAATTTCACACACACACATACACACACACAAAATTGCTTACAGGAACATATCCTTTTGCAAATTAGCTTCTTCAGCATTCCTTCATATTTTCCATAGCGAGCTTAGATGTAACACTGTTTCACAGGCAGCTGCTGCTTCCAAGTCCAAGGCATAATCAATCCTTGCCCCCTGTATTCATTAAGCATGCAGTTTCACACCCAGCGTTCAACAGTCCAGGCTTGAGCACTGTTTAGGTGCTTGTGATTGGGAGAGTTGAGTCAGCCAGTGCACCTTTCTAAGCTTTTGAGGGGCAAAAGTGGAAGGTTGTTAAAGGCACCCACAGCAGAGAATCTCTTCAGGGCTGCTTTGACCAGCAAGAGAGAAAAAAAGAGCCGAATGAAGTTCATCCCATCCCTCCGGGAAGTCTAATGGGAACATCTTAACAGCTGTCATCATTTGCCCATGACAAATACGTTTGCATATATTTGTCATTACGTTGCTTTAAAAGCTTACTTCCTAACATCAGCGTATCAAGGTATAAAATTACAAGAAACAGAGATGATGCCAGGAAGTCAGAAAAAAATGCATGGAGTGGAAAAACAAAAATAATGCTCCACCCTCGGCTGTACAAACTCTCTGCAAAAATTGCAAGAGGACTTCTACAATACCCAAACAAAGCTTTGTCACCTTCAGCATTTCATAACTTTGTTCCCTAAATCTGTTGCTGTCGATTAAACTTGCAATTGTGTTTTATTTCTCCTTTCAAGGAAAGCTTTTAAGGGGTTGAAGTGTTTTTGTAGCCATTCGGTTAATTCATTTATTTAGCATGTTATATCATCAACATCTTTTCCCGAGTAAATTGTCAGAAGCAATTAGAGCAGGGGTCCCCAACCCCCAGTCCGTGGACCAGCACCAGTTCGCACAAACAAGCAAAGTCAGCACACAAAACCACGCCCCCTCCGGGCCACGGAAAAACCTTTCTCCACGGAACTGGTGCCTGGTGCCCAAAAGGTTGGAGAGACCTCTGAATTAGAGGGGGCGTTGTCTTACCTGAACGCCTTTTCTCAGCACGGAGATGGAGGATCCACCCGTGGGTTGTGACTGTATTCCTGCCCAATCAGATCAAGTCAGCCAAAGTTGTCACGCCCTGTCCTTGGACCTATGCCCAGTCTTGACGCGAGCGTAGCACTTGACTGATCGATGACGTACTGGCTCATACACTAATTACCTATAA